AACTTTTCCCTGTTAAGGTACCTGTCCCCAATCCTAGTATACACCATATTAACTTTTCCCTGTTAACGTACCTGTCCCTAGACCGAGCATACACCATAATAACTTTTCCCTGTTAACGTACCTGTGCCAAGACCTAGCATACACCATTATAACTTTTCCCTGTTTAGGTACCTGTCCCCATCCTAGCATACACCACAATAACTTTTCCCTGTTAACGTACCTGTCCCTAGACCGAGCATACACCATAACTCTTCCCTGTTAACGTACCTGTCCCCCATCCTAGCATACACCATAATAACTTTTCCCTGTTAACGTACTTGTCCCAAGACCGAGCATACAACTGGATAACTTTTCCCTGTTCTCAGACCGAGCATGCACCAAGATAAACTTTCCTTGTTCATATACCTGTCCCCAGACCTAGCATACAACAGGATAATTTAACTTTACCCTATTAATGTACCTGTCCCAAGACCGAGCATACAACAGGATAACTTTTCAGTGTTAATATACCTGTCCCCAGACCTAGCATACACCATAATAACTTTTCCCTGTTAACGTACCTGTCCCTAGATCTAGCATACACCATAATAACTTTTCCCTGATAACGTACCTGTCACAAGACCTAGTATACACAAGGATAACTTTTTCCTGTTAACGTACCTGTCCCTAGACCTAGCATACACCAGGATAACTTTTCCCTGTTAACGTACCTGTCCCTAGACCTAGCATACACAAGGATGACTTTTCCCTGTTAACGTACCTGTCCCTAGACCTAGCATACACCAGGATAACTTTTCCCTGTTAACGTACCTGTCCCTAGACCTAGCATACACAAGGATAACTTTTCCCTGTTAACGTACCTGTCCCTAGACCTAGCATACACCAGGATAACTTTTCCCTGTTAACGTACCTGTCCCTAGACCTAGCATACACAAGGATGACTTTTCCCTGTTAACGTACCTGTCCCTAGACCTAGCATACACCAGGATAACTTTTCCCTGTTAACGTACCTGTCCCTAGACCTAGCATACACCAGGATAACTTTTCCCTGTTAACGTACCTGTCCCTAGACCTAGCATACACCAGGATAACTTTTCCCTGTTAACGTACCTGTCCCTAGACCTAGCATACACCAGGATAACTTTTCCCTGTTAACATACCTGTCCCTAGACCTAGCATACACCAGGATAACTTTTCCCTGTTAACGTACCTGTCCCTAGACCTAGCATACACGAGGATAACTTTTCCCTGTTAACGTACCTGTCCCTAGACCTAGCATACACCAGGATAACTTTTCCCTGTTAACGTACCTGTCCCTAGACCTAGCATATACCAGGATAACTTTTCCCTGTTTATGTATTTGTTCTTAGTCCTAGCATACAACATAATAACCATTCCTTGTTAATGTAAAAATAAGAAGATGTGGTATGATTGCCAATGAGACAACTCTCCACAAGAGACCAAATGACACAGAAATAAACAACTATAAGTCACCGTACCTACATATCCCACTTTTCCAGTCTTGGCAAACCAAAGGATTAACTTCCATTGTGGATGTACCTGTTCCTTGTACTAGCACACAGCAGGATAAACTTTCACTGTAGGCATGTGCATCAGGATTAGGACTCCGCCAGTCAATTAATGTTCTGAACAGGGCCATGTGTTAATCAGGATAAATTCCCTCATAATGTTTGCACATATTTTTAAATAACTATGAATAAAATACTGCAAATTCAGAAATTATTGAGAGGTTTTTAATAATGCAAATAAAATATGATTGGGTTAGTATCTCACCATTGTAATATATATATACATATATCTGTATGCAGTTTTTCCTGAAAAAAAAATTAGTTTTCATTTTCAGTTGGTTCCGTCACAATTACAATGATAAATGCTCTCAATAATTTCTGAATTAACAGTAATTGCCAAATACACTAAAGGTCAACTTAGCCTAAGAGAGTACCCAGCTGGAATCTTAGTTTTTCTATAACTTCTACACATATTTTGTATAGGCAAGATTTGCTTCAAATTATTTCCCATTACATTTAATCTGTTTAATGGTTATAGTTTTTAAATTCTCAATTGATCATTTGTCCAACCATTTACCACCATATTCCTAACGCTAAAGTTACAACTAGAATGATGAAGTAGTAAAAACATACATAGGATAACAAGAATCACTTACAATACTAGTACCATTAATCATTTAAACCCGCTGCATTTGTTTGCACCCGTGCTAAGTCAGGAATCTGATGTTCATTAGTTGTCGTTTGTTGATGTGGTTCATAAGTGTTTCTAGTTTCTCGTTTTTTATATAGATTAGACCGTTGGTTTTCCCGTTTGTATGGTTTTACACTAGTAATTTTTGGGGCCCTTTATAGCTTGCTGTTCGGTGTGAGCTAAGGCTCCGTGTTGAAGACCGTACTTTGACCTATAATGGTTTACTTTTATAAATTTTGACTTGGATGAAGATTTGTCTCATTGGCACTCATACCACATCTTCTTATATTTATAGACAGTACAACAGACAAAATAAATCACAAACAACTGTTATCCTCCATAAAACAAGAGGCTCCTAAGAAACTGAGTTGCTCACCTGTATTTTTGTGTGCAGATCTTGCATCAATGATAACTTTGCTGTATAATGTATACTGTAAATTCAGAAATTATTACGATGTTTTTATTATTGCGAAAAATGCGAAAGGGTTATAATCGCAATAATTTAAACTCGCATTTTGAAATTTTTTATATGAATTAAACAGGATTTTTCTCAATATCGCAAAAATTAAAATCGCATTTTATTCTAAAATGACAAAATCGCAATAATAAATGCACGCAATAATTTCTGAATTTACAGTATATTAATGCCTGTTTTAAAAGATTCTCTCTATCTATCATAGTTTCTACAAAAAAAAACCTCAAATAAATGGAGAATGTGTCCATGGGACACAGATGATGACCCCGCTCGCGTACAACGTTATAACGGGACATAACTAGAGAACTGTAAAAGTGAAGCCACCCAAATTCACACTTCATCAGTGTTTTATGGTAAAAAGCATTGTGTATAAGTTTCATAACAATTGGTTGAGGATGGAAACGAAAAATTCAGCAATTTTTCCACAGATAAAGGGACTAATTCTAGAACAGTATGAGTCACTCCACATTTGAACTTGATCTGTGTTTTGTGGTTATAAGCATTGTGTACAAGTTTCAAAACATTTGGTTGAGGCAAACTTTAGTTAATAAACTGCTTCGCTGAGCGCAGCTAGATACGCCCGCAGAGGTCCAACCCTGAACAGTTGGGGCAAAAATGGACACAATATTCAAGCTTGATTCAGGTCTGAATTTGGATTGTAATTAAATATTTGACATATTATAGGTGTCTGAATAAATGTATTCAAAGAACTTGAAATTGGTTATATGAATTGAATTTATGTTCAATTAAAGATTTCTTGCTGTTGTGCAATACTTAGTAAATCTGTTGTCAGACTATAAACAAATAAAGTATAATTAATTCTCAATGTCATATTAGAAATTTATGAAAATAAAAAGGGAGCTTACATCAATAGATATAAACAATTCACCAAAGTTTCATGAGAATTGGTGACAGCATTTTTGAGTTATTGTCAGAAAACTGGAAAATCACCCCTTTTTAATGAATAAAACCCCATAACTCAGAAATGTAAAATGTAAAATTTATAAAATTCTAAAGGGAGCTTACATCAATACATACAAACAATTCACCAAAGTTTCATAAGAATTGCTGAAAGCATTTGTGAGTTTTTATCTGATAACTGGAAAGTCCCCCCTTTTTTTATGAATAAAACCCCGTAACTCGGAAACGTAAAATCTAAAATTTATAAAAATCAAAAGGGAGCTCATGTCAATAGATATAAACAATTCACCACAATTTCTTGCAAGTTGGTGAAAGCATTCTTGACTTATTGTCCGAAAACTGGAAAATCCCCCTTTTTTTAATGAATAAAACCCCATAACTCGGAAACGTAAAATCTAAATTTTATAAAAAACGAAAGGGAGCTCACGTCAATAGATATAAACAATTCACCAAAGTTTTATGCCAATTGGTTAAAGCAATTTTGAGTTAATGTCCGACATGTTGACGACGGACAGACGGACGGACAGACGGACAGACGGACGGACAGACGGACAGACGGACGGACGGACAACGGTATACCATAATACGTCCCGTAAACGGGCGTATAAAAAACGGAAACTTATTTTGGGACATATGTACAGACGGATGTACAAGAGTAACCCTTAATGGCCTCTCCTCAGCGGTGGGGGCATAAAAAAATTGGTAAAAATTATTTTTCAAGGGCAATAACTCCAATATAAGGGATCAATTGACAATTTTGGTTAGTTCTACTTATTAGTAGCTCTTATTTTGCTGAACATTTTTACTTTTTTAAATTTCTCTTTATCTATAATAGTTTTCAAGATAGCAGCCAAAAACAGAGATATTTCATAAAAGATAGCAGCCAAAAACAGAGATATTTCATAAAAATCATAGTTTCAGGGTCAATTTTATTTAAATTGTCCTATTTTTCTGAAAATTTCCTCTCTCATAGATCTTGACCTGCTGGTCATTTTTATCCCGTCAGTTTTGTTTTAATTTTGGGGATATAAGCCAAAACTGCATTTTACCCCTATGTTCTATTTTTAGCCATGGCCACCATGTTTGTTGAATGACCTGAAAAAACAGAAACTTTATACTAGATACTATAAGGATCATTCAGCACAACTTTAGTTGAAATTGGTTCAGTAGTTTTAGAGGAGAAAAATTTTGAAAAGGCTTATGACGACAACAACAGACGCCAAGTGTTGGCGATAGTTCACGTGGCCCTTTGCATTTGGGACAGGTGAGCTAAAAATGACACACAAATTAAGACAAAAAACAACAAACAGCACATGGTTCAGATAGCCAGACTTGGTATGGGCGCAAAATTGGTGTGGTTAAAAGGTTTTAAAATTTTTTGAAAAACATGAAATATTTTTATTTATTTTGATTATTAATTCTGTATCATGATTGTTCCTCTCCACCTGATTCCTGTTTGACATACTGAGCCAGATTTCTACACAGTGTCTGTTGATGTGATTCTAATAGAGAATGAGTCTTTCCTCCAGAGGCCATATTTAATACACTGACAAGTTCACCACGTAATTGTTCAATGTTAGGTAATTGTGAATACTGATTTAATCCATCTTTGGAATATAGACTGTTTTCTACCAATCCCCCTACAATATAAAGTTAAGTTAACAGTTTCATTCAATTACAACAGTTATAAAGGTTAATTCAGTTACATCAGTTATATAACAGGTTAATTCAGTTACTTCAGTAATATAACAGGTTAATACAGTCACATCAGTTATAAAGGTTAATTCAGTTACATCAGTAATATAACAGGTTAATCAATTTACAGGAGTTATAAGGTTAATTCAGTTACATCAGTAATATAACAGGTTAATCTAGTCACAGCCGTTATAAGGTTAATACAGTTACATCAGTTATAAGGGTTAATTCAGTTACATCAGTTATATAACAGATTAATCCAGTCACATCAGTTATAAAGGTTAATACAGTTACAACAGCTATAAAGGAAAATTCAGTTACAACAGTTATAAAGGTTAATTCAGTAACATCCGTTATAAAGATTAATTCAGTTACATCAGTTATAAAGTTAATTCAGTTACATCAGTAATATAACAGATTAATCCAGTCACAGCAGTTATAAAGGTTAAAACAGTCACATCAGTTATATGAGTTATAAAGGATAATTCAGTTACAACAGTTATAAAGGTTAATTCAGTAACATCCAGGCACGTAGCTGCCTTTACGCAAAAAATCATTTGCTTGCACATTTTTTTCACCAAAAAAAAATAATTCTGAAATTGAATTACGGATAGTCTTTAGTCTTTACAGATTATCGTGTCGGGCGGTGTTTAAAGCCCAAATCTCTGATGTCGTCTGTATCAGTGACTAATAAGGAACTATATATCCTTCAATATTCGCAATCATCTCAATTCTAGTTACAATGCCAGTAACTACATCAACTACTGAACGGTCATTTAGTGCATTAAGGCGACCGAAAACTTATCTCCGTTCAACCATGGTACAGGACAGACTATCTTCGTTGGCACTCATACATGTTCACAAAGAAATGGATATCAACACCGAGAGAGTTCTGCGATCATTTGCCTTGGCAAAAAATAGATATATGGACTTTCGATATTAACTTTACTTTAAAGTCTTACATGCAGTATTAACATTTAATTATACAGGCTCAATACAATCACCTTGAAAACATCTTAGATTTATATCCATTACTTATAAGTCAAGACTTAAAAGTGGCCGTTAGATTTCGTATTCCCATTGTCCGTTCGTCCAAAAGACTATTGATTCACCTGGGGTATCTGTGTCCCAAATGACCTTCTACCGTTGTCGTAGAAACCTCTCCTTTGATTTGAGAATGACCTTCGTGAGACACACTACGGGTGTCTTGCACAAAGCAGGAACTGCTTACCCTTTTGGAGCACCGGAGGTCGCCACATTTTTTTCTGGGTCCGTGTTTTTCATCTGTATTTAGTTTTCAATGTTGAATGTTTTTGTTTCTCCTTTTGTGTCTTATCTGTTCCCGGGTTTGTCAATTGTCCATTGATTAACGCTTCGGTTGTCGACTCTTCCTGATCTTCCCGTTTTATAAAATTTGTTTTATATTTGAAAATAACCATGTTAATAATATAAGCAGCAAATTACGAAACTCACTAGACTTTTACTATCGTTTCATGAAAATATGGTATAGTAAAAAACAGATAGGGTATTTTTCATGTTCAAAGCAGTCACTGTAATTACTCATATGCCCGGAGCTTCATGGGGATTCGCTTCCCTGGACCACCGTCTACGGTGCTGCCCTGGATCCCCGACTAGGGTTCTACTCGGGACCAGCTGGGGACTTTGAGCGGTCCATAGCCTCCTCCCTTGCCGAATCACTATAAAGTCCACAAGTATTCACAAAATAGGAGTTTGGGCGTGAATGTGATGTGAATTTCATAAGCATGGCATACCGGGAAAATGCCCGAAAAAAGTTATCATATTCTGCATATTACAATAGGATTATATATGTCCCTTCAATAAAAATGCCAATATGACAATTCCTATGTCGAATCAACAATTTTTCTGCATACTGGTGAATTGTACAGGTTTCATTCCATTCAGTGCACCTCTAGAAGAAGCATTTGTATGTATTTCCAATAGGGTCTTATGTTAAAGGAAGTCCCCCTGCTGGTGGCCATCTTGGATGATGGATCAGCTTCAAAGTAACAACACTTGGTCAGCACCTCATAAGGAACATTCATGCCATGTTTGGTTTCATTCCATTCAGTGCTTCTCTCAAAGAAGACATTTGTATGTATTTCCCATAGGGTCCTATGTTAAACTAAGTCCCCAGCTGGCGGCCATCTTGGATGATGGATCGGCTTCAAAGTAACAACACTTGGTCAGCACCTCATAAGGAACATTCATGCTATGCTTGGTTTCATTCCATTCAGTGGTTCTCTAAAAGAAGGCATTTGTATGTATTTCCCATAGGGTCCTATGTTAAATTAAGTCCCCCGCTGGCGGCCATCTTTGGGCCAGGTGAGCTAAAAATTACTAGATATTTAGAAGAAAATAAAAATTTTGCAATTTTTCTATTTATAAAGGGGCATAACTCTAGAACGGTTAAAGTGACGCCACCAAAATTCAAACTTGATCTGTGTTTTGTGGTAATAAGCATTGTGTATAAGTTTCATAACATTTGGTTGAGGCAAACTAAAGTTACAGAAAGGAAACCAATTTTGGGACGTACGTACAAACAGACAAGGGTAAAACTTAATGCCCCCTCTGCGATGTCGGGGGCATAAAAAAAAATTCGCTAAAATCGTCATGGTAACTTACCTAGAACAATAAAGTCAGGAATTTTCTTCAGTATTTTTAAAGCTTCCTTAACCTTGGGCTCTGGACATACAACATAAACATTGGACCCTATAATCCATGGTGCCATGTTTTTATACTGGGAATATTCTGTTATGGCTCGTCTGAAAAAAAGAGCACAAATATTGGTTCTTATAATCCGTGATACAATGGTTTTGATACTGGGAATATTCTGTTATGGTTCACAAGAAACTTAAGACAATCTACTTTAATTTCAATCTCCATTGTGCCATGTTCTCATTTTTTATACCGGGATTGTTCTTCTATAGCACATCTGAAACATATAAAATAAGATTGGTCTCTTATCTCACCTGCATCATGTTTTCATTTTTGGACTTCTTTTATGGCATTGAAACATATAATAACAAGATTGTGTCCATAAAACACTGATGCCCCACTCGCACTATGATCAGTGGACCGTGAAATTGGGGTAAAAACTCTAATTTGGCATTAAAATTAGAAAGATCATATCATAGGGAACATGTGTTCTAACTTTCAAGTTGATTGGACTTCAACTTTCATCAAAAACTACCTTGACCAAAATCTTTAACCTGAAGCAGGACAGACGGACGAACGGACGGAGGGACGAACAAACAAACGGACAGACAAAAAAAACATAATGCCCCTCTACTATCGTAGGTGGGGCATAAAGATTGATCTCTGATCTCCATAGTGACATGCATATACATGTATATGTAAACAATAAAACTATATTATAACAATATTGACTTTTTGTAAAAAACATGATAACATTTTGATATGAACTAAACAAATTTATGATCCAAGGGAGATAACTTAATATTTTCAAATAACAACCAAATCAATCTTTATTTGATATATAGGCCTGGAGTCTACCTTATCCTTCAATGGATCATGTGTCAATGGTAGGCATACTCAGCACCTGACTAGCCAGTACCACTCACCTTATTAATCTATTGTTATAGAACCAGAGTCTCATTCTGTCATCTTTCATGGTGTTGATAGCCTTTCTTTTGTCAATGGTAGGCATACTCAGCATCTGACTAGCCAGTACCACTCACCTTATTAATCTATTGTTATAGAACCACAGTTTCATTCCGTTATCTTTCATGGTGTTGATAGCCTTTCTTTTGTCAATGGTAGGCATACTCAGCATCTGACTAGCCAGTACCACTCACCTTATTAATCTATTGTTATAGAACCACAGTCTCATTCCGTTATCTTTCATGGTGTTGATAGCTTTTCTTTTGTCAATTGTAGGCATACTCAGCATTTGACATACTAGAATCATTGTATTCTCGTCAAACATCTTCTTCACTTGTTTGTACATAAATTCTTCATATTCATCTACCTCCTGTAAAGAAATTCAGAAAAAAATCAAATGAAAGCACTGTTGATTTATTAATATACATGGGTTACCAATATTTGTGGAATTTGTGAATAGGAAAATATTTCAAAATATTTACTACATCCTATCAATTAATGATTTTCTGTATTCTCTGTTTAAATCTACTCAAGAAGACTTTGTCTTGAAGGTTTTACTGTAATACTTACTGTGTCCAGTGCTTTAATCTTGAAGTTTATACTGTAATATTAACTATGTCCTGTGCTTTAATCTTGAAGGTTATACTGTGACACTTAGTGTATCCTGTGCTTTAATCTTGGGGGTTATACTGTAATACGTACTATTTCCTGTGTTTAAATCTTGAAGGTTATACTGTAATACTTACGTACTGTATCCTGTGCTGTAATCTTGAAGGTTATACTGTAATACTTACGTAATGTATCCTGTGTTGTAATCTTGAAAGTTATACTGTAATACTTGCGTACTGTATCCTGTGTTGTAGTCTTGAAGGTTATACTGTAATACTTACTGTCTCCTGTGTTGTAATCTTGAAGGTTATACTGTAATACTTACTGTATCCTGTGTTGTAATCTTGAAGGTTATACTGTAATACTTACTGTATCCGGTGTTGTAATCTTGAAGGTTATACTGTAATACTTACTTATTGTAATCTTGAAGGTTATACTGTAATACTTACGTATTGTATCCTGTGTTGTAATCTTGAGAGTTATACTGTAATACTTGCGTACTGTATCCTGTGTTGTAATCTTGAAGGTTATACTGTAATACTTACTGTCTCCTGTGTTGTAATCTTGAAGGTTATACTGTCATACTTACTGTATCCTGTGTTGTAATCTTGAAGGTTATACTGTAATACTTACTGTATCCTGTGTTGTAATCTTGAAGGTTATACTGTAATACTTACTGTATCCTGTGTTGTAATCTTGAAGGTTATACTGTAATACTTACTGTATCCTGTGTTGTAATCTTGAAGGTTATACTGTAATACTCACTCTATCCTTTGTTGTAATCTTGAAGGTTATACTGTAATACTTACTGTATCCTGTGTTGTATTCTTGAAGGTTATACTGTAATACTTACTGTATCCTGTGTTGTAATCTTAAAGGTTATACTGTAATACTTACTGTATCCTGTGTTGTAATCTTGAAGGTTATACTGTAATACTTACTGTATCCTGTGTTGTAATCTTGAAGGTTATACTGTAATACTTACTCTATCCTTTGTTGTAATCTTGAAGGTTATACTGTAATACTTACTGTATCCTGTGTTGTATTCTTGAAGGTTATACTGTAATACTTACTGTATCCTGTGTTGTAATCTTAAAGGTTATACTGTAATACTTACTGTATCCTGTGTTGTAATCTTGAAGGTTATACTGTAATACTTACTGTATCCTGTGATGTAACCTTAAAGGTTATACTGTAATACTTACTGTATCCTGTGTTGTAATCTTGAAGGTTATACTGTAATACTTACTGTTTCCTGTGTTGTAATCTTGAAGGTTATACTGTAATACTTACATACTGTATCCTGTGTTTTAATCTTTAAGGTTACACTGTAATACTTACTGTTTCTTGTGTTATAATCTCCAATTTTTCACATGATTGAGATACTGGCACAATTTCCTCTATATAAATAGGTCTTGTAATACTCTCAAGTACCCTAGCTTTCCATACTCTAGGTTTTGGTCTTTGGACATTCCATTTTTTCCCTCCTCTAACAGCTGTCCATTGCCTTGATGTGCACCTTACACAGCCTGGTAACAATAATAGAAAATGACATTCATGTAGGTTTCAATGTATAAGAATACTTTTCCCTGATCTTCATGTTCTGTCAAGGGAACCATGTGTGCAAGCTTAAGGCTTATATATATATCACATGTATCAGGTTGATGATTATCTCCCAAAGGGGTTATGAAAATATTTCAAAGTGCAAATAATTACACAAAAGACATCTTTTGATTAGCATTTTTTCGGAATTGTTTATTGGTTTGATCCCTTGGACATGTTGGGAGATGCTGATTTTCAGAGGGATCATTCGTTTTCTAGAAAAGTCCCTAACCAATACATGCAAAAGCATTGAAAAGTTTCTACTATTGACCTCACCAAATGCACTTTTAAATATTTTCCAAAATTCAATAAATTGCTTCGCCGAGCACAGCTGGATACGACCTCAGAGGTCCAACCCTGAACAGTTGGGGCAAAAATGGACACAATATTTGCGCTTGATACAGGTCTGAATTTGGATTGTAATTCAATATTTGACACATGACAGGTTTCTGACACAGAATAACTGTAGTCAAAGAACTTAGAATTGGTTATATGATTTGAATTTATATTCAATTTTTTGCTTTTGTGCAATACACTATGCTGTTGCAAATTGACCTCCCCCCCCCCCCCTTTTTTTCAAAAAAAAAAATTTGAAGGATTTTCTTTTTGATTTCTGAAATCTTGAGGAGAAAAAATTGTCCCCACTCCCACCCCACCACCAATTTTTTTTACCCCCCCCCCCCCCCTTTTTCCAAAAAAAATTCTTTCCCTCAGTCATGGTCATAATTTCAATTCTAATTTCCAATGGAGTTTGCAACCATAATCATTGATAATAACCCATTTAAATACATCATAAAAGTCTTAAAATAGAAAATGACATACATAATCATAGCTGAAATTAATTTACCTTAATCAGCATTTTTAAAATTATTAAAATAGTAACTTCTAAAAATGAATTGACAGCTAATCACCTCAAGACAATACAAAAATTCTGTATACATAATTTAAAAGCTGTGTAAGGGAGGTAATTCAAAGTTGTGTTTGAATTACCTCCCTTACACTGTAATTTGTACTTAAGTAATTGTCCATTAACCAGGACACCCTTGTTTTTTTTCACTTTTTTGCCCCTAATTCCTAAACAGTTTGAGCCATAACCCCCCAAAGCCAATCCTAACCATCCCTTTGTGGTATGGAAACTTTTGGTATAATTTCAGAGAGATCCATTCACTATTCCACAAGTTATTGTCATGAAACTAGAAAAATGCTTATTTGGGCCCCTTTTTGGCCCCTAATTCCTAAACTGTTGGTACCATAACCCCCAAAATCAATCCCAACCTTCATTTTGTGGTATTGAACCTTATGGTAAAATTTCATAGAGATCCATTCACTTAAACTAAAGTTATTGTGTGAAAACCAATGTGTCTTCGGACGACGACAACGACGCCAACGTCGTATAAAAATTAATTAAAAAATTAAGATGTTTTACACTGAAAATTGATATATTCCATTTGGGCTATATTACCCCAAATGGGTTAGTTTGACCAATTTGGGAGATAATCCCTAACCTGTATATGACAATATATGTTAGAAACTGAGAAAGGTGTTTGGCCATTCAGGCAAAAATCTTTTTAATCAACTGCCTAATAAACTGCTTCGCCGAGCGCAGCTGGATACGACCGCAGAGGTCCAACCCTGAACAGTTGGGGCAAAAATGGACACAATATTCAAGCTTGATACAGGTTTGAATTTGGATTGTAATTAAATATTTGACACATTATAGGTTTCGGACACAGAATAAATGTAGTCAAAGAACTTGAAATTGGTTATATGATTTGAATTTACATTTAATTGAAGATTTCTTGCTGTTGTGCAATACACTGTGCTGTTGCTCAATGCTTAGTAAATCCATGAAATCTGTTTCCAGACTATATACAAAGAATTAGCAAAATAAATTGTGCCCCCAATTTTTTTTTGGAAAATTGACAATTTCTTAAATCTTGAGGAAAAAAAATTGACCCCCCAATATTTGAAGAGATTTTCTGTCTAATTTCTTAAATCTTGAGGGAAAAAAAATGCTTGTTTTGGGCCCCTATTTGGCCCCTAATTCCTAAATGGTTGTGACCATCACCCCCAAAAACAATCCCAACCTTCCTTTTGTGATACTGAACCTTTTGGTTAAATTTCATAGAGATCCATACACTTAGACTAAAGTTATTGTCGGGAAACCAAATGTCTTCGGACAATGACGACGTGATAGCAATATACAACCGCAAACATTTTTTGAGGTCGTATAAAATTTGTGGAAAGTCATCACAACTGTTAGACATCAAGAGAGTTTACCATTATTATAACAAATATGCAAAGGGAGGTAACAAGCTCTAATTAAAGTGGTCCAAATGTATTCTTACTTCATGTACTTGAACAAGTAAGAAAATTTGCAGTAATTCATTGTAACTATTCAATTTAATATAAAGTTTTAAAGGTTAGAAAAGATCATCTGTCATGTCTTTGATTCTATTTTATTGTACATATATATATATATGATAGTCTTGTTTTGCAATTTGTGTATACTGTATATAATCCTTTAACTTGAAAAGAGTCCATAAATAATAAAATATAATATTTAACATGTTTAAATATATATTATATAATCTTCAAACATGTATTAATCATTTTTCTTCTATATTTTCTGTACAGAAAAGATGTCCTACCCAATCAAAACTATGACCTTTGTATTTTCTGAACTGAAAAAAATAACAACAGGTCAACAATAAAACTTCATCAGTGATTTAATTTTTAGCCAAAATCATGTCATAAACATGATGCCAGGTAAAATTTTGTACATATATCTTTATTTCTTTGACAAATTGATTAGAAATACTTTTGTCATTCTGTGAAAATTATTTTGTAAAATTGAGTTTGTGAAAATTATTTTGTAAAATCGAGTAAAATGAAAAGTGTGTTTATTTTAATTGAATGGGCTTCAGATTATTCATTGCATTCAATAGAAATAGACAGAGAAGGGAAGGATTATTGAGTAGGAAATAATCTTCATTTACATTGTGTATTGCTCATTTTAAAGAAAAAATATCAATCTTTCTAACAGTCAGTCAGGGGTACTACTTGTACAAGTAATCTTTATTTACTTGAAGAAGTAAATAAAATATACTTATATAAGTTAATTATAATGTTGGAATAATCTCCCCTTAATTTTCTTAAAAATTTACTTGTATAAGCAATTTTTTTTTTACAATCCCACAAAAATTCTCAAGTTTTGAGATGTAAAAACATGCCTTTAACAATTTTTCTCAGGTTAGCTAATAATTTTTTATTAGAGTTCAATGTTTCATCTCATTAATTCAACAAAGAAACTGATTGCACAAAGATCTTAAGTATTTGCACAAGCCCTTCAAAAATTGCCCCTTTTGGGCTTGTAAGTGAGCAGTGTTCTGAAGATAACAGACAAATGAGATTTTCATTGTCCATGAAATTACACTTAAATGAGTAGTAAAGATATCTGCAAAGGACAGACAATTAAAAATTCTATTAGAGCAAAGAAGTCCTAAGAAATCAAGAAAAGCAGATAGGATGACTTTTTTACTTGTATAAGTAAAAAAATCTGAATGTCTAAGGGACATAACTAAGCCAAAAAATTATTTACCTATACAATTAAATAAAATACACTTGTATAAGTATCCTACAAATTTACTTATATAAGTATATTAATATTTACTTCTTCAAGTAAATAAAAATTACTTGTACAAGTAGTACCCCTGACTGACAGTGTAATATATGAGAAGGTTCAACCAACTATCACCTGATATTTTTTCTGAAGAAGCAAGTTTTTGACCTTGATAACTAGTGTATTCAGTGTATATAGTTATATGATATTATAGAAAAACAAAGGATACCAGGTATCCATCCATGACACAAAATCAGCACATGCACAGCAAAAAAACACACGAAAAGCAAAGGAACAGCACTTTTATTGCTGTCCTTTATCTCAAAGTCATGTATTTAAAAAAACGATGCCTCATACCTGTGTTCTTGAACACAGGACTCTGAGCCTAGTTTAGCTCTTACTCCATTGTGCCACTTGCTTAGCCAAGAAGTAGTAAATATCATTTTTTAAAGTTTTTGGTTTTTACCCAGGTGTGAAATGAATAAAATATACTTATATAAGTATATTTTATTCATTTCACAACCCAAGATCATCCGCACTGGAGGCAAGCACTGTGCAAGATGAGAAGTCAACAAATATGCATCAATAACCTTTGGGAGCTCTTCAGGTAGCACCAACTTCATATTATTTTGTTATGTAAGATTGAGAAAATATCTTTTGTTAAGTTTATGTGTGACACAAATTGGATAGTGAACACAAATGGTATTGAAAGGTTTAAATTAATCTCAATTTCTGAAAAAGGATTATTTTCAACATGACAGGTTCATGGCAGCTCTCCATGCCTACCACCCCCCGATGACCTCCCACTTTAACAGTTCACTTATATGTTTGCAGGAAAATTATATGCATGTTTATACTATTTTCAGGTCAGGTGAGGATAAAAGATTAAACCTTGTGAAACTTTTTGCAAAATCGTTGCCATAATATCGACTGGTTCTTTCTAGCAAAAATATGATACTGGTCGAACAGGATACCAGTTGTAATATTCCGCAGCAAAAAATATCTGATAACCAAAATATTTATACTGAGTATAATAGCCACGTATTTATTTGATGTGGAAAAAAAAAGACGAAGAAGGCAAAGTATTTTGGACGTTTACCATGCCATTCATTTAGACATCAGACTTTTTTTATTAAATCTAAGACTGATTTATATTAATTATACAATGCCTTAATACTCTATAAGTGAACTCAATTTAGATATTACACAATAACAAAAATAATGATTAATGACCATGCACAGAGACATGCATATACAGAGATTGACCATAATCTAAATATAAAAAAAGGAAGACATTCAAATGTTCCTAGAGAGCAGGGATTGTGCCGTAATTGTAATATATTATAGAGAATGAAAAGCATTTTTTTTTATATTGTGAATTAAATAGGGAACTGAGAAACAACATTTTTAATAATTTGGAGTCCTACATTAAAAGTCTTTAGAACTGAGTACTATTTACTGTAATTAAATGATTGTGCATGATTATCATTTTATATATGTAATTTTCAGTTATATTGTATACTTATTTTGTACTTGTTTAAAGTTTATATGGCAATAAACATTTGAATTGAATTTTAACTATCAAGGATTTGTATTGTCTTATTAAACAAATCCTTGATATTATGGATAACGCTGATCGATATATAGATATAAGAAGATGTGGTATGAGTGCCAATGAGACAACTCTCCATCCAAGTCAAAAAGTAAGGCCATTATAGGTCACAGTACGGTCTTCAACACGGAGCCTTGGCTCACACCGAACAGTAAGCTATAAAGGGCCCCAAAAATTACTAGAGTAAAACCGTCGTTCAAACGGGAAAACCAACGGTCTAATCTATATAAAAAACGAGAAACGAGAAACACTTATGAACCACATCAACAAACGACAACTACTGAACATCAGATTCCTGACTTAGGACAGGTGCAAACAAATGCAGCGGGTTTAAACGTTTAAACGTTTTAATGGTACCAAACCTTCACCCTTTTTCTGAAACAATAGTGTAACATCACAACATAGAAAGACACACTATAAAATATCAACTGAAATAGCTTAACTCAATCAAAGGACATATTAACACCATTGAACATACACTGAACAAATAAATTTGACATATGACACAATATCATATTAATGTAAATACAAAATAAATAAACTAAGGGAAGAATAATAAAAGTAACATGTTATATCGGTAAGAAATGTTAAACAATTAAAGAAAAACAATATGACATGTATGAAAGAAGGCTAGCGTTTTTACTAAGCGACACAAAGCGGGGGGAAATAGTTGGTGTCGAGGGGAACAATACTATTGTCCAAATAGCCAGTAACTTGATAAGTGTTTTTTATACAGAAAGTACGGGAAAATGTTTGCTCCCGGTAAATATTTAGTTCATACACAATAAATAGGTTTTTTAACTTTTGAAACTATTGACTGGTAAATAGTCTTTTTCAGACAATATTTCGTAATAAAAGTTAATTTATTCGTCTATAATTTTATAAAGAAAATACATACCGATGTCACGATACATGGTATAATGATTTGTTTGACTCCATGACCATTGTTTTTTTTTCCTTACTTATTCAACCGTTTTCTATACAATTCAAAAAATATTATCTAATCTATTGTATAGCACTCTTTGAATGATAGTTTTCTACTAGTGATGGAATGTTAGTCCCCAACAACTAAGTAGTCACTGTTTCGGTACTGACATGATTTTTCTAAAAATTCCCCGTTCATAAATTAAGAAATTATTAAGGAGCTAAGTTTCCAACTACCCCAGGCAAAGTTGTCTTGGGATGAACTTTGCTATATTTTTATTTTTTTGGTTCGATGTGGTCATATATGCCCTATCGTCTCTTCGTATTTATGCATCATTGCCTGTCAAATCTTACATACGAGCGAATGAAAGTAAAGAAAAGCGCTTCTGAAAATATGTGTTTTTTCATGTACTAACACTCGGCTGAGAATACTACAACACATCGCATATATAGTATGAAGGTAAGATTATGAATAAAAGGAGATGGGCGGTATATTTTTACAAACTTAATTTTATACCATCACCGCAAATCGTTTGTAAAAAGTGTAAGATGTGAGAATTATAATATAAACAAGCAAACTGGTAAATAAAAAAGGAAGCTAGCTGCGTAGGATAGAAATCGACCTTACGCAAGTGCACGTATACATGTACATATATAAGACTTTGATTGATTTTGGAACATTCAAATACGAAATAAAACATGTGAATTTTGTTTTGTAGGGTTCTTATAACAACTCTATTTTCAAACAGTTACAAACTTTCCGTAGAGATTTTTTCAACCCGAAATAGGCTAACAGATGTATTGGTATTAATTTGCATGCGGTCAATTTCTAACCAACGCAGCTCATATATCAAGATGGTATAAATAAAAAAGATATTGAAAATACGAATACACTGTGGTTAACATTTTAAAAGAATTCTTTGCAAAAACCATCTCTGAGAACAAACCACAGAAAATGACGAGATACAGCAAAAATCTACTTCGGATTACAGACAGTCCAAAAAGACAAATACAAGACAAAATATCTGTAATATAAATGGCATGATAGGCCATGGGAAACTAGACCAACTCAAAAAATTAAAATATGACATACAAAAACAACAAAGAAAATCTTAATGCAAATATATTGAAGATACGATATTTGGTATACCAATTGAGGACAATCTACTTATTGCTTGCTATGCGCCATGGGTTTTACTCATTGTTGAAGGCCGTACGGTGACCTATAGTTGTTGCTTACTTCTTCGTCATTTGGGTTTCATACCACATTTTTTTAATTTTTTTCTTATTTTATACACTATCAAAAGGTTTGCCAAAAAATCTGTTCACCTTTCTTTATCTGTATATGCTCTGCCAATATAGGCGCACCTTCAGTTATAAATGTCAAATCACCAATAGAATAATGATACAAGTTTGTACGAGTATATGTCAATATATTCCTTCACCAATATTACACATACATGACAAATAAAGTCTTACTTATAAAGTCTAAAATAATTTTTAAATGATAACAGTTCCACAGTCCACATGCCACACAACAATTACTTAGCTAAATTTGCCTTTCTCGAGTTTTTTCTGTCCTGTGTTTAAATTTGCATATGTATAATTGTTCTATAAAACACCAAAGTCTGAAAACTCTATAACATACCACCGCTCCGGAAAGAGGGCTCGATTACATGTGATTCAACAATTATGAAAAACTAATATATTGAATGAACAATTCAAAAAAGCATTTACATCTGTAACAGACGAACCCATACCAGATAAGGGAATGACTGTAACTGTACACGGATGCCTGATATTAAAATTTAAACAAAACAGGCCATAGAAAAGCTTCCTTATAAAACAATGTAGATATAAACAAAGCAGCTGCATGGAATTGATCTCAGACATTCATGGCAAAATCTTAAAATATTGCAAGACATACAGCACTCCAATCTTATCCATCATTTTTTAACCCTCACTGAAATAATAGTGTGATGGAATTGTATGTCCGGTAATCAAATAAGGCGACTAACACGAATCTATAAAATATCATCCCATATCATTAACATGCATCTTTAAAATATCATCCTATATCATTAACACGAATCTATAAAATATCATCCCATATCATTAACATGCATCTATAAAATATCATCCCATATCATTAGCATGCATCTATAAAATATCATCCCATATCATTAACACGAATCTATAAAATATCATCCCATATCATTAGCATGCATCTATAAAATATCATCCCATATCATTAACATGCATCTATAAAATATCATCCCATATCATTAACATACATCTATAAAATATCATCCCATATCATTAACATGCATCTATAAAATATCATCCCATATCATTAACATGCATCTATACAATATCATCCCATATCATTAACATGCATCTATACAATATCATCCCATATCATTAACATGCATCTATACAATATCATCCCATATCATTAACACGTATCTATAAAATATCATCCCATATCATTAACACGAATCTATAAAATATCATCCAATATCATTAACATGCATCTATACAATATCATCCCATATCATTAACATGCATCTATACAATATCATCCCATATCATTAACATGCATCTATACAATATCATCCCATATCATTAACATGCATCTATAAAATATCATCCCATATCATTAACACGAATCTATAAAATATCATCCCATATCATTAACACGAATCTATAAAATATCATCCCATATCATTAACATGCATCTATACAATATCATCCCATATCATTAGCATGCATCTATACAATATCATCCCATATCATTAACATGCATCTATACAATATCATCCCATATCATTAACATGCATCTATACAATATCATCCCATATCATAAACACGCATCTATAAAATATCATCCCATATCATTAACATGCATCTATAAAATATCATCCGATATCATTATCACGAATCTATAAAATATCATCCGATATCATTAACATACATCTATAAAATATCATCCCATATCATTAACATGCATCTATAAAATATCATCCCATATCATTAACATGCATCTATACAATATCATCCAATATCATTAACACGAATCTATAAAATATCATCCCATATCATTAACACGAATCTATAAAATATCATCCCATATCATTAACATACATCTATAAAATATCATCCCATATATCATTAACATGCATATATACAATATCATCCCATATCATTAACATGCATCTATAAAATATCATCCCATATCATTAACATGCATCTATAAAATACCATCCCATATCATTAACACGCATCTATAAAATATCATCCCATATCATTAACATGCATCTATAAAATATCATCCCATATCATTAACATGCATCTATAAAATATCATCCCATATCATTAACATGCATCTATAAAATATCATCCCATATCATTAACATGCATCTATAGAATATCATCCCA